ATACACCATGCACTTCGGAGCCGTAGCTCACAGATGCCAGCGGTCCTGAAACAACAATATTGCGGGTATGACGGCCGAGTGTTTGACGAGCTGCACGAACGCGCTTACGCCGCACCCGAGAATGTGGCAATTTGCTCTTGGCCGTCGTACCTCGGCCTCCTGTGCGACGAGCCTGTCCAGCACCGCCGTCTACTCCGAGGTTGACTGAGGTTCTCGCGTCGGTCGAGGGGCCGCCGCGCTGCTCAAGGAACTGCTTGATGGCCTGCCCAACATCCGCATGAAACGAAACCGCCGCAGTCGTGTCCGTAGGAGCAGTGGCCCCCATGCCGGTCTCCAGAGCCATCAAAAGGTCCACCGAGGCCTTCTTAAGAGAGGAAGCTTCCGATTTAGACGTCCTAGAGCTCGAGAGCCCGTATCGTCTATGTAGATGTCAAGGGAGACCTGCTGGGGGAACCTGATGGTGTCCACAGTGGGAATATCATAAACCCGCACATAGGTAGTAGCCATACTGCATCCAGCCCCAAACCCGTGCGCGACAAAATGGGGCCCAGGCAGGAGGCCCCCAATGGAAACAAACCGAGCTCCTCGATATGCTCTTAATGAGACCCTGGCAATCTGCATCGGGAAATCCAAGGCCCGGCACCGGTCTGGCAGCTTGGGAAGCCGAGTCGCCTCGTATAACTTTAATGAATCCCATGGGATCTTGCAACAGCTATCCCCGCGACCGACGACATGCTCGCTCTTGACCCCCTGGTGATACACGACATCCGAGGCAGAGTTGAACGACCCAGAAGCGAGGTGCAATCTCTGGCGCCCGCTTCCCCAACGCTCTGCATAGGGCCGTCGGGCGCGCGCCCGCAGCCCGTATAAAGACGAGAAAAGCCAGATGGGGCGGCGCCCGCCCGCTGGTTTCGGCAGCAGCGCGGTCATCAGCACCTGAGCTGGGTGCGGTGGGAGGCCCGCGGCTTCTATCATCATAAATAAGGTGCTGACTGCATACAACAGGTCGGCATGCATAAAAGAGCAGTGCCGCATGTGAAAACCGCCCACACTGGCGGCCGTGCCTACTGCATAAATCTTGCTCGCAGCCATCAAATTGCTTGCAGAAAGCGGCTCCAATGGCTCCGTAAAAACCATGGGCCCAGAATCGCCGACATGAAGGCCCCAGAGGGCCCCGCACCGTTCCCCCTCCGACTGCAGAAGGGACGCAGGGTCCGACAGAACAAGCCCTTCGGCAGACAACGTGGCACTCGCCACCCGAGGTATACCCCCCTTGTCAACTCCATCCAGAAGCCAGCTACGCCACTCCTTCAAAGACCGCTGTGAGGAAGACTTTGCGTACTCTGCCACTCTGGGTTCTAAAAGAGCTTGAAAATCACGGAAACCTGACGCAGCGTGGGAAACATCTTGAAATGCTTCTAGGAGCCCACATCCTTGCTGAAAAAAAGATTTTGGAAGTCACCCCGAGCCCGACGAACGTGCGCGGGGAAATCCAGGACATGCTTCCGAAAGCGCCAAAAGGCCACGGCGCCACCTGGATCAACTGCCCCCACGATAAACCTCGAGGTCATCGACAACCATCGCCCAGATAACAGCCTAGGATCCCGAACAGGAGGCCGGGTGTCTTTGTCCAGAGCAGAAACCCAGGCCAATCGAGGACTCCGTCCACGGGATCCCCAAATATCCAGATTGGTTTGGCAAATTCTGGAACGCCCCCACTCGGCCGCATCGGCCCATACTCGATACAGCACGTCAAGATGCCTGTGAAACTGGGACCTGGTAGCTCGACGTTTTATCAACTCGCGCCCCACACGGGCGCAATCCAAGACAGTGGAGGGGCCCTCCGAGCACGGCGCTGGTCCGACGGGGCGCTCGGACGGCAGCTTAGGCGCGCGGAGGAAAGTGAGGGCCTTGATCGCAGCCAACTGCGGGTAAAAGAGGATGCGCACGGGCGCGTGCGTCTTGATGTCGCTGCTTAGGACTGCTGAAACCTCCTGGATGCACCGACTGAAGCCTGATTCAGCCCCCAGTGTTGGTACAAGTGCCGATATCAGGATAAATAGCGTTAGACTTAGCTGCCAAGGAAACCCAGAGGTAACCAATCCATCAGGCGTCATGTTAAAGTCGCTTCCGATCGGGCTCGGACCTTCAAACGAACAATGCCTGGCCGACACTGCCGCCAGCTGTTCAAGATTCCTGTCAGTGAGGTCTTCGCTATCGAAGGGGTAGACCGACGCGGCCAGGATCGGAGCCCCTGGAATCTGAACAATTAATTCCACTCATGGCCCTGGACGGAACGACGACCTGACCGAACTCGGGATCGTGAACGCCCAGGAAAGAGCGAACCAAAATCGCGACACCGCCCGGTGTGCCTCCCGCCGACGCGCGGGTCGCAGGATTGAGCCGCGCCTTCCATCCCCTTTTCAGCGCCCAATGTCCTGCCTTGGCGGCGTCGCCGTTCGATGCTAGGTGATGTTCTTGTACGAGTGCGATGGGAAGTCGCGATTGCAAGCCAAGACTCGAGGGAAGACCAACTCGTGCATTTCACCGTTTCGATCGACAGCTGGAACGCGCAACTAGGGCAGGGGGGCACTGACAAAAATTTGGATGGGTCCGAAGGCATGCCGCCCGCGGTGGGCAGCTTAAAAAACTTCTTGACTCGCTCAAGAGCCTCTCGAACTGCTGGCTGGGCGAGCACCTTCCGCGCTGGCCCTCGCAGGGTGAACCAGAAGCCACCGCCGATGACCAGGAGGGCCCAGTCGACCCAGGCGGTGGAGTTGCGGCCCTGCGGCCGCGCGAGAGAACGTGTTCATGATGATGTCTCCCTTGTCGGCTACGCGCTGGCGCGGGGGGGCTGGGCCTGACAGGGGCTCGATGAGCTTGTCCGCGTTGGCGAGCAATTGCGCCGCCGACGATGACCCCGCCGAGCCACCTGAAGATGACGCCGCCACCCCACTCGAAGAATCACTTCCACTTTTTCCAGCGCGATCTTGGGCCTCGCCCTTGGACTCCGCTGAACCACCAGGTGTCGCCGCCGCAGCTTCACCTAAAGTACCGACCTTGCGCCTCTAACCCATCCTCTGGATGTGCTTGGCGTGATCCTCCTTGGGCTTATTGAATTGCCGCTGGGCCTCGCCGAAGAGCTGGCGAGCGGCCATCTGCGTGGGCTCCTGGAGCTGCGTGGCCCTCTTCTCATGCCCCTGGGCGTCAGACTCTTGAACTTCATAGACCGGGCCGTGTACCCCGAAAACCTCCTCGACACTGCCCATGTCCAGGAAGTCGCTGGAATCATCGAGGAGGTCCTGGAGGGCGAGGCGAGGCTTCTGTGGCGCGGCAGGCGCTGGACATACTTGGGCCCGAAGCTGATCCACCAGCCCCTGGTACTTCTGCATCTCCCCCGCCAGCTCGCGCCGCACCTCCCCAATGGACTCCTTCTTGTCGGCGAGCCAGTTTAACCGCTTAGACTGCTGATCCAAATCGCGCTGGAGCTCCGTCTCCAGCTGCTTGATGCGGCGATCCACTTGGTTGGCCTGGGCCTGCAGGGGAACAGGAGGGTCACCTGCACGTCGCTTCTCGAGCCTGAGGTGAAGGGCCGCTGCCGAAGCCTCGTTGCCCATCTTCCGATGGGGGCTGACGAGTTGCACCAATTATTCGTCCGAGAGCTTGTCCTGATTCCCAGCAACAGGCGGCGGGGCCGCACCGCCCTGGAGGCCGACAAGCAGACCTTCCATGGGCGGCTTCTCCTGCCGGGACGCGCGCTGCCAGTCTCCTGCCCGGGCTCCTCGGGGCTGGGGCGGGCTGACGGCTTCGACCTCCTTCCTTTTGCCGTGGCGCTGCTTGCAGGACCAGTAGTGGCCCATATTCTTGCCGCAGCCGCAGCGCCCGCACTTCCAGTCGCCGACAGAGCCCCCATCGCGCCATGGCGGAGTGCCAGCAGACCAGCCAGCACGACGAGCGAGAGGCGCCATGGCGGGCGACGAGGGCTGCGGGCGATTGCGATTGCCTCTGATTCAGTCGTCATCCGATGGGAGACGAAACCTCAAGCGCCGCGGGAAGGCACAGAGGCAGGCCCAGAAACTTGGGCCCCAGTTGCTTGAGGAGGGGGAGGGGGTGGGGTGGGGGGTTAGGGGAGGGCGGGGGCTTTTCCGGGGGAGGGGGAGGGGGGGGGGGCGGGCATTTTCCACAGTAGAGCGGCGGTGGATCACGCTCTCTCCAATGCGAAGATCGCCATGTTGCCCTGGGCGCCAAAATGGAGCCTTAAAGGTGTCACCAGATTTCGGGTGAACCGCCCGCGCGTGGGTCACACGACGCGCGCATCGGGGAAGTGTGTATTATCGGAAATATGAAGTTGGCATCTTGCTTTGGGAAATAGAGTGGAGGTTTAACGTTTACCAGCCAGCTTTCGGGTGACCCGCCCGCGCGTGGGTTACCGCGCGCGGGCGCGAGCATTTGGGAAACTCGGTACTGTTGAAGTAGAAGGGTCGTTTTGTTTGCCTGGACACTACAGTGAGTCCTTGACGTTGACCAACCGGATTTCCTGTGACCAGCCCGCGCGTCGGTCACCCGATCTCGCGCGCGCGCTCGCGCGCGTTGCGAGTTCTGTTTTGCCCACTTTGGAGAAGTATCCTATGTTAGCTTGGGGGGCAAAGTGAAACCTGAGGGTGACCAACCAGATTTTGTGGAATGACTGCAGTAGACACTTCGGCCTCACCATTCGACCTTCCCCGCAGCCCTGGAGCCTTCCCCTGTGCCCCTACATCAACCCTGCTGCTCTGTCCCCGACATCGGCCTTGCAGCCTTCACCGTTTCCTCAGCCTCGGCCCCGCCCTTTGCCTCGGCCCTGGCCGCGGCATCCTTTGTTTCCGTTGTTTAAAGCAGAGGCCCACAAATGCCGTAGCCGCGGGCCAAGTTCGTTGTTCGTTGTGTCGTGGCCAAACCCAGCCCACAACGTCGACATTCGCTGGTGCCCGAGGCCCTACTGGTCGCCGCAGCCCGAAGTCATGTTTCGGGACTTCGCCCCTCGCCCTAGCCCTGGCCCTGCTTAGCCGGCGCCGCAGCCCTGGTTAGTTTTTCGTGTTCTTTTGTTCGTCGATTGTCGAACAAGCCTTCGCCGCAGCCCTGGTCCTTCTGGCCTTCGCCGCAGCCCTGGTAAGGCTTTCCTTTCGTTTTTCTTTCGTTTTCGCACAAGCTTCGAACTGGACCTCGCCCTTCGCCCTAGCCGTGGACTTGTGGCCCGCGCCGCAGCCCTGGTTAGTTGTCGTGCTCGTTTTCGTTGGTTTTCGCGCCAGGCTCAAGCGGGACTTCGCCCCTCGCCCTGGCCTTGGCCCTGTGGCCGTCGCCGCACCCGCGGTTCGTTTTTCGTGTTCATTGGTTTTTGGTTTTCGCACGAGGCTCAAACGGGACGCCGCCCCTCGCCGTAGACCTGGCCCTGCAGCTTTCGCTGCAGCCCTGGTTCGTTGTTCGTTTTCGTGTTCCGTTTATGTTGTGTTGTCGTTGTGATTGCGTCATGCCCCAGCCAGAACCTCGCCCCTCGCGTCCGCCCCGGCCCCAGACCCCAGCCAATGCTGCCCTGGCTCCAGCCAACGTTCCATGTTTTCGTTTCGTGTTTCGTTTTGTTTCCAACGTGGTCTGCGAAGTTCGTTTCGCTTTTCGTTTTGTTTATTAGTATCGCTGGAAGGCGGCCTCGTTTCGTTTTCCATTTTCGTTTTGTATCAGTTTCGTTTTAAACGTTCGTTGTATACGTTCGCATTCGTTTTGGTTTCCGTTTTCCAAGCGAACGCATCAGAAGATCTTTGATCAAGGAGGAATGTGGCTTGCCCCCGCCCTTCTTGCCCCGCCTCCCTTGGATCCTCTCCTCCTCTCGTTCATTTCCTTCTGTTTTGTTACGCCATGGTACGCTCATCCCCTCACCCCGTCCTGGCGCCTCTTTCCTGCGCATCCGTCTCCAACAGCACCAGGGTCTCCGAGGGGCAAGGGCCCTGGGGGAAACGGGTCCTGGACCCTGGGGGTCCCCCCATTCGAGGAAGCGCAGACGTGGATTCATCGGGGGAACGTGAGACTCGAGCTTGTCAGAGTTCGAGTTTGTTGCCGCTTGTCGGTCCTGGTTTTAATCTTGGCGGCTCAATTCTCGTGATCTGTTTGCAGCGTGAGTTCACGTAACATTTCATACCAGATCGCGCCATTTTTCTCACGGCCCCGTCAGGCAAAGTCGAGTCCCCCTAGTGCGATCCCGATCACGGCGCGTTGATTCGCGACGGGCCCCGCTTCCGCAACGAATCAGCTCGATCTGGGCCCGCTTCCGTAGAGAATTGGGCGAAGACGAGGAAGACCCCATGGGGGGAGGAGGAAGACGGGGTGGGAGGACGACGACAACAACGTCGAGGACGACGAACGACGATGAGCGACGACCGAGGGCACGAGCCCGATCCCCGGGAAGCTGTTGACGGTTGTAGGGAGCTGCGAGAGGCCGAGCATTGGGGAGGTCACCGGGGGGGGGATGTCGTGGTTGGGGCCATGGCATTCCCTGGATTTCATTTCGCCCTCTTCTTCTCTTAATGCACACGCGGGTCTAATTAGTTCCGGGACAAATCGTTCCAGAGAGCGTTCCAGATCTCACTGGAGCGGCCGCGTCGCCCGAGCTATCGTCCAGAACCGCTGGGTCCTGGTCCGATTTAGCCGTATGTTAGGATTCAACTCTTGGGAGATGAGATTCAGCATCGCCGCTGGCAAATCTGTGGTCGAACACCGACCTAACCCGGCATAGTCATGTTGAGTCCCGATTGCTCTGGCTTGATCATGGGCCTACTCTGGCCTGATCCGGTTCAGTGGCCTCTTCATCGGGACTAACAGCCTTTGCTCGTTCTGTTGAAGGCCTCCCAGGATTTGCCTCCTGAGCTACGGTAGAGGTGCTGGGCACGTGCGCGCTGGCCAGCATCCCGCTGTGCTTCGCCAGCCGGGACGACGACGTTGTGAGGCTCCAGGTCGACGTCGATTGCGCCAAGGCCCTTGCTGCCGAGGGCCCGCTCGAGGCCCGCCATTTTCGCCGTCTCTGCTCTCTCTTGGGGCCATCATCGTCAGAGCCATTCCCACTTCCACTGTGACAGGCTCGTCAGGGGGGGTGATAGGCTCAGGGGGACGCATCGCTCCCTAATCGCGCATGTATCGCCGATGGATTCTCAATAGGCCACCCCGCCCAGGAGCGGGGGCCTACGCCGATCTATCGGCGATGTATCGCCGATCTCAGGTCGATGGTCTCCCTCCCTGAGCCAGTCCCCCCCTAACGTTTCCCTTCAGGTTTTCTCTGTCAGCGCCATCCCCACCCCCACTGGGACATGGTAGGCTGGCTCTCCCAGCGTGCACCCCCATCCCCAGGGCAGGTAGGTAGGCATGCGGGGTGTCGTTGGGGACGAGGTGATTTTGTTTTACGCAGGCGACAACATAATATACCTATACGACCACCCTTCGGGTGATAAGGAGGTTCGGGGGGGGAGGAATCAACGTCTCACTCGATCGGTCTCACTATCGATCTCACTATCGATCTCAGTATCGGTCTCGCTCGATCGATCTCCCTCGATCGATCTCACAATCGATCTATCTCACAATTGATCTGACTATCGATCTCACAATCGATCTCACAATCGATATCACATTCGGTCTCACTATCGGTCTCACTATCGATATCACAACCGCTATCACAATCAACGTCAGCATCATCATCAACAACATCAACATCAACATCATCATCACCAACATCATCATAATCGGGACACCGTCCTCATCATCAACACCAACATCATCATCATCATCATCACGGTCATCAACATCATCGGGACACCACCATCATCATCATCATTACCATCATCACAATCATCATCATCATCAACATCATCATCAGCAGCATCGGGACACAGTCATCATCATCAGCAGCAGCATCATCATCGGGACACCATCATGATCACCATCGTTATCATCATCAACATTATCATCATCATCGGGACACCATCATCATCATCTCATCCTCATCATCGACATCATCATCATCAGCATCATCAACATCATCATCATCAGCATCATCATCATCGTCATCATCGGGGCACCATCATCATCATTACCAACATCAGCATCAACATCATCCTCATCATCATCATCACCATCGGGACGCCATCATCATCAACATCATCATCATCACCATCATAATAATCATCATCATCGGGACGCCATAATGATCATCAACCTCATCATCATCAACATCATCCTTATCGGGACGCAATTATAATCAGCATCATCAACATCATCATCATACACATCATCATCGGGACTCCATCATCGTCATCATCATGATCATCGACATAATCATCATGGTCATCATCATCATCCTCATCATCGGGACACCATCAGCATCATCATCATCATCATCAACACCAACATCATCATCATCATCATCGACATCATCATCATCATCATCATCATCATTATCATCATCATCATCATCATCGGGACACCATCATGATCATATCATCATCGTCGTCATCATCAGCAGCATCATCATCATCGTCATCATCATCAGCAGCATCATCATCATCATCTGCATCACCATCATCATCATCATCATCATTATCACCATCATCATCATCATCATCATCATCATCATCATCATCATCATCTCATCATCATTATCACCATCATCATCATCATCATCATCATCATCATCATCATCATCATCATCATCATCATCGCGGGACACCGCGGGACACCGGCGGGACACCGCGGGGCATCGCGGGACACCGCGGGACACCGCGGGACACCGGCGGGACACCGGCGGGACACCGCGCGCTACCGGCCGCCCGGAAGAGACACATTTGGTCCGGCCGCGCCTCAGCCACAGGGACACCGACGGGACAACAGCGGGACACCAGCGGGACACCGCGCGCCACCGGCCTCCCGGAAGAGACACATTTGGTCCGGCCGCGCCTCAGCCACAGGAGACTTTCCTCTCGCCCGCCCACGCAGCTTCGCCTCGCCCGCGCGCACGGCACGCACGAACACGAAACCGAAATCGATTTCCCGGTAGGGCGGCTCTCCGTTCCACTTCGATCTCACCCCCTCACCTCCGATCAAATTTCAACGTTCGGAGGTCCACGCGTATTTCTTGGATCGGATGAGGGTCCAGCGCCGACCCTTGAAATCTGCACGAACCCTCAAACGTTTTTTCGTCATGCTCCCCAGATAGTATGCTCGTCATGGTTCTACATACGTTGTCTAAGAATTAGTATGTGCATTGTTGGATCCGGAATCGGTCGGGCGACGCTGTCTTCCATTGTTTCCCACAGATTGTCTTCCATTGTCTCCCGTTGTCCCCAATTGTCTTTCCGTATCCCTATCTCTATCTTTCTGCCTTTGTCTTTATCTTTCTTATCCCTATCCTTATATCCCTCTCCCTGTATCCTTAGCCCTGTATCCTTACCCCTATCCCTATCGCGATCCCTCCATCGTGGACGTTGCCCCCCATCGTGGCCCTGCCATCGTGCCCCTCCCAGTGGCCCCCCATCCCACATGTGTATAGCTCTTCAGGGTCTTCTGCCGCAAAGGTGCAATAGTTGTTTGTCCTTCTATCATCGCCTCATCCCCCAAGACCTGACCCGCCATGACATTTTCAGTCCACGTCGGCCCTTCACCTGGGGGGAATTCACCACGTAGCATCGCTTGGATGACGTTAACTTCGGCATCGTCGCTCGTAGATCTTTGGACTGAATCGAGTCTTGTCCGTCTTAGTGCTGGGCCTTATCCGGCTTGATCCCATCCAATGGCCCCTTAATCGGCCTTGATAACCCTTTTTCGTTTTCACACCGTAGCATCGGCGCACAGGCCTGGGGCCATGGGAGTCCGACGTCGTCGCCGCCGGCTGTCGCCGCATTCAGAGGCCCGACGTCGTCGCCGACGCCGCTGGCCGTCGCCGTCGTCCGAAGCCCGATGTCGTCGTCGTCGTCGTCGTTCGCTGGCCGTCGCCGTCGCCCAGAGTCTGATGTTGTCGGCGCCGCTGCCAGCAGCTTGGCCTGGCCGTCGAGGCGCCTCCGCCGAGCGCCGACCCGGCGCCCTTCGCGGCCGGCAAGCGCCGGAGGTCGCCGTCGCCAGAGGCGCTCGCGCCTGCGAGCAAGGACGGTGGCGGGGGGTCAGCAGGCAGGTAACGGTGTGACGTGTTTCAGCGCAAGCGGGGCTCAGCCAGAGCGTTGGATCTTGCAGGATCCGGCAAGGCCGGAATTGGGCTGAGCCGGCTTAGATTCTTTTTCGGAATTGGTTAAGCTGGGTGCTTTTGCGCTGAGCCACGCCCGACGGGGGCTGCAAGGCAGATACAAAGTCGTAACATGCACCCAGGCAGATAATAAGAAACACATGATATTGTCGTATATTCCAGACGGAGAACAGTCACACGTCCGCTCCATAACTAACTTGACGATGTGATTCACAAGCAGACGTTCCGCACGAACAAGACATTCAAATGTCACAGCCATATGCTAGCAAGCGTGGGCCCCCAACACGTGTTTGTAGCAAATTATGTTGTGCAATATATGTTGTGCCGTACAGGTGGTGCAGTCTACTTGGTGCAATATATGTTGTGTGATATGTTGTATGCAGTCTATGTTGTTGCGCAACGTTTGGTGTGAAATATGTTGTGTGCCATGTACGCTGTGCGATTTTGGTGTGTAACATGATGTGTGCAATCGACGTCGTGCAATCTACCAAATGCAGTATATGCGGTACAACCTATAGTTGTACAATCAATGCTCGGCAAACTATGGCGTGCAATATGTTGTGTGCAATCTACGCAGTGCAACAACTGAATGCCCCCGAATTTTTTTATAAAAAACACGCTTCACCCCCGCTATATTTTAAATCCCGTGTCAAACGGATTGAATTGAGGAAAGGGGCGCGGAGGCCGAATTTGATAATCCCCGGGGGGAGTTGCGAATCGAAGTTGCTATCATCACATGCTGACTTGCAACAGCATCAAAAACGCTGAGCATGGCCATGGTGGTCTCACCATTTCAGCTTCCGCAATCACGAGCGTGTGTCAGAGCTGTGGGAGTCTCACCACTTCAGTTTTCCCATGTCACGAACGTGAAGCAGGGCCATGGGATTCTCACGTTCTCAGTCGTTCCCGGGTCAGGAACGTGTGGCCGGGCCGTGGGGACCGATTGGATTTTGAAGTTACATGGTTTTTTTTCGAGTCGGCAACGCATTTGATATATATGTATATATATATATATATGTATATATATATATATATATCGTTTAGCGCATCCCCCACACGGTTCGTGGCCCCTCCTCCTCCTGTTCCTCCTCATCCTCCTCCTCCTCCTCCAAAGGACGCCGAGCCTGCATGGGCGAATGGTTTGAGGCCGTGCGCAAAAGAGGTTTGTTGGCCAGAAGCGCCAAGAACCTCTCATGCGCAGACAAGTGGTAACCACGAGCCTCGAAATCGCTCGCGTCAGTCTGGTGCCAAGATCTACAAGGTCAGTCTACACGAGCTTTCAGGAGCATCGTCATCATCGTCATCACCATCATAACTTAACTAACATCACCTATCCTGGGAAAACCGTTGATAATCCTCGCCAGGACCCCGAACTTTGTTATCCCACGGATATTATTATTTGGGGCACAGGGTCATATGTTGTGCAATCTCTATTGTGTCATCTATGTAGGGCAGTATGCGCGGTACAATCTATGTGGTGCACTAGACGTAGTGCAATATATGTTGTGCAACCACTGTGGTACCATATGCGTTGTGCAATCGATGCGGTGCAACCTATGTGGTGCAGCTGGTGTCCTGCAATGTATGTAGCGCAATCGATGGTATGCAATTTATGTGGTGCAATATGGGTGGTGCCATATCGGTGCAATGCGGTGCAACTGCTTTTTACCCATAAGCTGACACATCACATGCTCTGGCAACAATCCCACCCACCCATGCGCCAATTGGCTTGCAGTACGTATGCGGTGGCGATTGCGATACATGTTTGGCGGTGGCTGGTGCGTTTTTGCGGCCGCGCCAACCCCAGCACGCGCGCGCAGCGGCCATCTGGTTTGGCGCCACCGACGCAGCCGCGGTGGTGCTGACGGCTGGGCGCATCCCAGCGGTCAATTCATTGCGAGTCGCCGACGTGGGCGGGCGCGATGATGATAGTGGCGATGTCGGCGACGATGTTCGCAACGACGACGACTCGGCCAGTGCGGGCGCCGATGCCGATCACGCCAGCGACGATGACGGCGTCCCCTCGTCGGTGATGATCGGTTGGAATGAGTTCGGCATCCGCGCGCGGCCGACGCGCGAGAGTAGCCCGCATGGTTTTACGTGGCACGGATCGTGCTACCGCCCCCCCCCGCACGCGCGCAGGGGGGTGCGAATGATGTCGGCATGCGGCGCCAGTGGCCCGCTTGGCAAATTTTCACGCTTGTATCGGAAGTTTCTATGGTTTTGCTACAATCCCAAGAGCGCGCACACACCTTTCTTGGCACCTGATGTTGCCAAGCCGTGTGCGTGTGTTTTAAATGTTTCTGGTTTCGTTTGGGGGCCATTGCGAAACCGAGGGTTTTTGAAAGACTTCGGCATGCGCGCGCGATGGCGTTCGCGCCTGCACTTCGTCCAGTGTTGCTCAAATGGATTCTGGCGACGGCCCGTGTTTCGACGCGCGCGCGAAACCTATGTGTTTTTTTTCTTTCTGATTATGTTGAAATGACCCCCTGGTTTTCTTCAGGATTCGCAAGAAAGCGCGCGCTCGTGTTTGTATATATTCTTGTTCATTGAGTCTTATTCTACAGCGATGCAGTGATATGCGAAACATATAGATATATACGAAAGAACACAGCGTTTCGAACCCATGTGTTTTTATTCACGCGATTGTGACATCAGAACCCGAGAGTTTGTAAAAGGATTCCGGCATGCACGCTCGACGACGCGCGTGTGCACATCGTTTTGTCTTTTGTACTAACGGGTGTTTGAAAATTAGTGATGTGTGATAAACGAGCGCGCGCATATTTGTTTGCCGAAGATGGCAGGGGGATCGATACTGGTTCGGCTGGGATGGTATGGGTCATATTTGGGATGGACGATGGGGCACAATCGCATGTACACTGCAATTCGAAGTGCGGACCGATAGAGCCGGAGGGGGTTGGAGGTGGATCCGAATTCATTTGTTAGAATTGAGGACCGATCTGGTGCAACCGATGTGGTGTAACATTGGTTGCTCGTCCTATGTGGTGCTGTGTTTGCAGTGCAAACTATGTGGTGCAACTGGTGTGGTGTAGTGTATATATTTATATATATATGTATATGTGTATGTGTGTATATGTATACATATATACATATATATATATATGTATATGTATATATATACATACAGTGTGTATATATACATACATATAGATTGTTCAGTATGTGTTTTGCAATTTGCGCGGTGCACATGGCTCATGCTTCGCGTATCCCCACCCGACCATCCCAAAACAGTTTTTCGCGACGCACGCTGACGGTCGTGACTTTCGGGCGTGTCTCTTCTTGCTCTCGCATATCCCCTCCTCTTCCGCCCACGTCGTAACTACTTTCTGTTATACATTCTTGTGCGGGCAGTGGGAGGAGGACGAGGCGGAGCAGGAGGTCTCTGGACCTTTTTGGGGTCCTCGTGGTGCCTCTTGGGGCACGTTTGGGGCTCTTTTGGGGAGTATTGGGGCCCTCTTGGGGCTCTGTGGGGTTTGGGAGGTCCCTTGGGACAATTTTGGAGGCCACGGGTCAGCAAGGAACGTAGCGTCAATTACAACCCCCCCTTGGGAATCCGAGCGGCCGCCTCTTGGGGCCCTCGTGGGCCGCTCCGGGGGCGGTTTTGGGCGTTTTCAGGCCCGTTTTGGGCCTCTCTGGAGCTTGTCTTGGGGTTCTCTTGGGCCACCTTGGGGCCATCTTGAAACCTGAAGAGCCACTTGAAACCGAAAAGGCGAGAAGGCGAAGAGCATTGATTTCCCTTGGGTTTTTGAAGGATGTTGGCCTCTCGGGGGCGTCCTTGGGAGGTTCCGTGGCCACTTGGGGCCGTCTTGGGGCGGTTTTGGAGCGTCGTGTAGGCTTGTTAGGAGCTATCTCGAGTCACCGAGGGCTATCTTGAGCTCTCTTTGTCTGTTTTGGCGCAGTCGAAGGCCAACACAGACGCTCCAACCACCCGCGCCCCCCCTCCTCCAGGCCCAGGGGTAGGGGGTAGAGGGAGGGGTCAGAACACCCGCCCGCCCGCAAGCCGTCTAGTTCACTTCCGCCCGCCCTCTCTATTTTTTTGATTTGCAGGGCGAGAGCGAGCCTCTTCCGCTAAAAGTTCCGCGGGACGCGCGCGGCTCTGATTGACAGGGAGGGGGGCGAGTGCAGAGTGGGCCTCACGCGGCCTGGAGCGGGCGGAGCCCGGGGAACAGGCGGTGCCGAACGGGATGTGCAGGAAAAGGTACACCTTGGAAAGGAAAAGGGGGGCGGTGGCGCAGCCGTCAGCGGCACTTTGCGAACGCCAGCCTCACGTACTGCGGGAGGGACGCGCCACTTGACCAGGTCGACGCGCGGGAGGAAGAGGAGCACCACGAAGTAGGAGAGCCACGTTGTGCCACCAGAGTGATGCAAGGAGTATCAGCCGCGGTAGTCCACTCCGCGGACGTGGGGGGCTGCAGCCTGAGGCACGGCAGCCGGGCGAACCGTGATTTTGCCGTTGATGACCGAAAGGATGCCGGTGCGTTGCAGGGAGAAAGTCTGCCCTGCGCCAGCAAGCGCGCTGCGTTGCCAATCCGCAGTGTCGAGGGCCGGGCCTGAGGCGCGCAGCGCCAAGAACAGCGGGGCCGCCGCGGCGGCAAGGAGCAGGCGCCCGGCACTGGGCCAGAGCCTGGGCCGGAGCCGCGCAGTGCCGGGCGTTGTCGCCATGGGAGGGGGGGTAGCGAGCGGGGAGGGGAGAAGCGGACGGGGAGGAGATAGGCCAGCCCAGCGGGCCAGCCCCCGCTTGGCAGGTACCACGCGATCCGGTGGATCAGGACACCTAGCGGGATCAGGAGGGACTAGCGGCCCCAATGCCAATTGGAAAAAAGAGGAGGGGGGAGGAGGAAGCGGACGCCGTCCTGCCGAGCAGGGAGTCGGGCGGTCCGGACC